GGAAATTTTCTAACCTTATTGAACAGCAGATAAGCTTTTGCCTGAGAATATTTTTCCCTAATTTTTGCTTGAGGTGCATGGTTTGGAACAAATAGGTTTTTCAAGGCGATAGGAGAAATTTCCAGCCATCCTCACTTATAATTTGCTGTTGCAAGTTAACCACATGGCTAGTACCTCAATGGTCAAGTGCTTTCCACACTCGTCATGGATGAGTTTAGGTACATGAGTCTGGGTCCTAATTATGATGGGGTTACTTGCTCCCCTTAGCAAACTGTGTGGATCTTCCAGTAATTGATTCTTTGATCTGCCAGGAAAGACTCAGTTTATGTTGAAATGAACCAAAAACACCCATGTCTTGCTCCACTATAGACACCTCTTTGTCTGATCCTCCTGATACTATTTGAGAACGTTCCCAAATTTTTGCTGGAGAGATCATAGCTCACCCGTAACTGGAGACTTTGATACCAAAGCTATGGTTCCTATTGATAGTCTTGATATAAGATTTTGATTGATGATGACAAATCTCAAAGATCTCCCAGAGTTTAATGGACTCAAGCATTTTTTTTTTTGTTCTTCTCTAATTCTTTTTCTTTAATGTAAAACTGAATTTATTCTTAATAAACAGAATAACTGCTTTCTTACTGCCTTATTCTAGATGGTAGCAGTTATATGGTTGTTCAATTTATATAAACCGCCAGCTTAATAGGTGGCATAAAAACAATGAAAAACATTATTTTTCTTTGATACCATAACAGAATATAGCTATATAGAACATGTTAAAGGTGTACATAATTCCTTATTTATTTCTTCTTCTTCCCTGGCTAATACATCTGATTTATAAGCACTATTTTCAGAAGTATAATCAACTGATCGGTGCTCATAACAGGTTAAGGAGAAGACAATAGGAAAATGTTGATGTGAGGCTGCTCCATTATAAGGTCCACAACCTGCCCCCCCATAGATTTCGTCATAAAAGTGTCTTTGCATGTAGCCAAAGGAGAAACGAAATAGGAATCATTGATGGCCCTTACCTCACTCCAGCCGTCCAGCCAACTTGTAACCTTTCTTCTGGAACTAACAAAAACCTTATGCATTCAAAGGACTCTTCCCAGCTAGAGTTGATTTCCTTCTACTGGTCTGTGTCATGCAGAAATCTAGTCTGTATGGTCCTCCATTCCCTGCTGGAAGCCCAAGCTTGGCTCTAATCTTCTTTTGCAATACACTACCATCAATATTTGTGATCTCCAAAGCCATTTCTTGAGGAGATCTTTGTTGAGCTCAACAAGCGATCTAAACCAAGCCCACCCTGTTGAAAGGGAAGCTTAATCATGTCCCAGGCCGCCAAATAAAAACTCCGTTGCTCCTCAGAATCATTCCACAAAATCAACACTGGAGAACCTCTAGTTTCTCAACTACACTAGACAGAATTGTGAACAAGGACAAATAAAAATAAATAGGTAGGCTAGACATTGTGCACTTAGTGAGAGTGAGTTTTGCTCCTTTTGGAAAGGAATCCCTGCTTTGGACCAATTGGCCTTTTCTTAAATCTGGCCACTACAAGGTCCAATAGTCCTTGAATATGGCCCCAATATGCATATCCATGTACTTGAAGGGGAGATTGGATACCTTACACCCCAAGATATCTGCAAAACACTCCATATCGTCCCACAAAGGAAACAGTTCAGATTTAGTCAAGTTAACCAGAGATGGTTTAGAAATTAGAGGAATGGAGGTGAGAAAATAAAGGAATAAAGTTGACTAGAGGTCATTAGGGCTATGTTGAAGAAACACAAGAAGAAATAGACGTAACATGATAGGTTAAACAGAACAATTAAGGAAAAAAAGGAACAAGGATGATAGTGAATAAAATCCTAAAACAATAGAATTCTTATTCATTATCTTTTGTCTGATAAATGTTTGTAGCCATTATATAGGCACTCAATACAACTGATAAACTGAAAGTTAACCAAAACTGTCGGTTCCATATGAAACCAACAAGGAAAATTGAAAGGTCAGAAGAAACTTGCCCGATGCGGTCATCATGGACTAAAGCAGTTTTTGTTGGAGTATGGGGCAAATCAAAATTACTGCAAGTGGGAAGTTGCTCATCAAGATTAACATGGATGAAAACAACTTTAATGGGAGCCCTTGTTTCTTGTACTGCTAAAGTTGGTTAAAAAAAAACTCGAAGCTTCTCATCTTCTGGCATAGGAGGCATGTGTATTCTTGCAAAGAATCCAATAATTTCTTAACTTCCTAGAGCACGTCTTTTCGTGCTTAATATTCAGCTGACAATAAATATCATAGATGCAATGAATATTTAGAGAAAATTTAGAATAAATAACTTCATCACGATAATGGTACCAAATATGAACTTTATTAGGTGGAAGTATATCAATTCATTCAATGCTTTCATAGACACCAAAAGGTTGATACAGGACATTACATGTAATAGGGCGGAGAACATGATTGAATTATAATCAATAGTTGGTTAGAACTGACTCCATCTTAAACAATTTTTTTAATGAAAAAAAATCGGAAAATACGGTGCTGATAAGCAACTTGAAGAAGGTTTAGTGGCTTAACAGTTGCCCAAAATGACTCAACTCAGTTTAGAAACTCGTAATGGAGACTTTTTTTATTTTCTTTTGTCTTTCTCCTTTTTTAGTAATGAATGTTGTTTCGTTGATTTGGAAGAATCAGCTAAGAAAAATGTTTGTTTTTTGTTTTTTCTTTCTTGCTATTTTGCAGGTAATATGGCATAGAAGTTAGACTTGGGTACCAGTTGATGTAGGACAAGTGCCTCTGTTTTAACTTGTCCAGGATAGTTTAGAAATTAGAGAAATGGAGGTGAGAAAACAGGAATAAAGTAGAAATTAGAGATTGAAGTGATGAAATATAGAGATAATTAGATAAAACATGATATGTCAAAGGAAACAATAACTAGAGAAAGGGCATTGATTACAACTGATAAGAAAAATATGAAAATAATAAAATAGAAAATCAAGGTTTTCTTAAATCCTATCCAATTAAGCTAAATAAATTGAAGACTAAATAATACTAATAACAATTGCTTAGATCTTTCTTGATACTATAACTATTTCAGTTTTGGATCTTATTCTGCATCCCCCTCTTTGACCATTCTCTAACAATTGTGTTTCACTAAGGATTTTGTCAGTGTATTTCTTTTCCAGTTTCAGTTTATTGATGTACCTTAATTAGTTGATATGTAAAATTTATTATTAAGTTTTATGACCTTATGTATTTGATATGCAGAATTTTAGTAACAATTTTTATATTTGTTTCATAATTGAACCAATTCTTTTTTTTTTTTTGAAATAAATAATTGAACCAATTCTTATCTGATATTTAGTTCTATATGGTAGATTTCTATTCTTCCTTGTCCATGTAGGGATCACAAATCTAACCAGTGTAATTCAAATGTGGAGCTAGTTTGTTTCTTGTTGAAGTCTCTTTCTCATGTCTATTGTGTGTATGTTTCTATTTTAACATTTGAACCAAAGCGGAGCTTTTTTGGTGGTGGGAATTTTCTATATATAATCGTTATCTTCTTCCACATGCAGATTCTATGCAGCAGAGGTTTTGTTGGCTCTTGAGTATCTGCACATGCTTGGTGTTGTTTATAGGGATTTAAAACCTGAGAACGTTCTTGTTCGTGATGATGGCCATATAATGCTCTCTGATTTTGATCTTTCTCTAAGGTGTGCAGTTTCCCCGACATTGATAAAAACCTCATTTGATTCTGATCCATCTAAACGGGGAGCTGGTGTCGCATTTTGTGTTCAGCCTGCCTGTATTGAGCCATCATCAGTGTGTATCCAGCCTGCCTGCTTTATACCTCGAATATTTCCTCAAAAAAACAAGAAGAAAAATCGTAAGCTTCGAACTGATCTTGGGTCGCCATCTAGTACACTTCCAGAGCTTGTTGCAGAGCCTACTGCAGCACGGTCCATGTCCTTTGTGGGAACCCATGAATATCTAGCCCCTGAAATTATCAAGGGGGAAGGACATGGCAGTGCTGTTGATTGGTGGACTTTTGGCATCTTTTTGCACGAGTTACTTTACGGCAGAACACCATTCAAAGGCTCTGGAAACCGTGCCACACTGTTTAATGTGGTTGGGCAGCAGCTTAGATTCCCTGACTCACCAGCCACTAGTTATGCTAGTCGTGATTTAATCAGGGGCTTGCTAGTGAAGGAGCCACAACACAGGCTTGGAGTGAAGAGGGGTGCAACTGAGATCAAGCAGCATCCTTTCTTTGAAGGTGTAAATTGGGCACTAATTCGCTGCAGCACACCTCCAGAGGTCCCGAGACCAGTAGAAGCCGAGCTGCCTGGTAAATTTGGGGCAGTAGAGCCAATAGGTGTCGGCAGCAATAGTAAAAGGATGGTGGGCACGGATATGAAACCCGGAGGTAAATATCTGGACTTCGAGTTCTTCTAGGTATAAGTAAATAGATTGTTGTGGTGATTTATGTTGGTATCATTAGTTGATCGTGTTAGAATTATGGTGATTAAACAGCCAGAAATCCGTGTCAATTGGAAAATCAGTAGTTGAAGTTTTATAAAATATGCTGGGTTTCCAATGGTTGATGGATCACACCATCATCCGATGTTTACGCTTCACAACTAAATTGGGGTAAATCCCCAATTTATTTATTTATTAGAGCTAATGTTGTCGATCCAGTTCTACACACAAATTTTACCTTTTTCTCACCATCTGAGTCTGATGCTGCGAACTGAAATTGTAACTTTTTAACTACATGAATCTAAAGAATGAACATTACTGGCAAAATGGCATTTTATAATACCTAACGAACTACTGAAAGAGCCAGAAAAAAGGTAAATTTTGCAGATGTTGGAATTGGAATGTGTGGGCTGATGTTTTAATTGCCCCTTTAGGGTTTTGAAAACAAAGAGACTATAAACTATGTTATCAATTCATGGATAAAGAATTTTTTTTTGAGTAGAAATCTATATATTTCAGTGATAATAAGATATTTTAATGTGTATGGAAAGTACCATCTAGGATTTGAACTTGCACTCATAGAAAGGAGGCTCTGAGCTTACACTCAAAGAAAGGAGTTTTATGATTAGGGAATGGTTGGAAATTAATAAAAAAATTAGTTATATTTAAGTGTTAATCTTTTATCGTGATAATTAAATTTTCTTAATTAGAATATTTATGATTGGTTAAAAATTAACTTAATCTTTTTTATTCAAAAAACTGGCAATATTTCATCCTATTATATTGATTTTCTGTTTTGTTTTAACAAAAAAAAAAAAAAAGTTTCTTGAAACTGGTATAAAAAACATAATATTTACTAATTAACTGATAATCTTCCATTTCCAAAAAAATTATAAGTATAGAAGTATGTTAATTACATATTAATATACTAAATAACACAATTTTTTCATCTCATAAAAAAGGGAAAATATTGTTTTCCCTTTCTCACATCCCTTACCCTCTTGTTTCTTCTCACGAAAGGTCATTATGCTCGAAGAACTTTAGGTATAAAGCTCTCACTTTCTAAGAAATTTATATTATTATTCATGCACTACTTTAGCGTATCACCTCCAAACCTGAGTCTCGAAGATAGTTATGTGATTGATATCAAACTGATAAATTTTCTCTTTTCCATCGAGTATTTATTAGACCACTCATCAAGTAAGATAATTGAGTTGCTAAAAAAATTCCATTGGACTTCTGTTCACATCGACTATTATTTAAATTTACATTATTTATAAGTTTGTCTTCATCCATTCGTCATAACAATTATTCAAAATTAAAATGACTTTAGTAAGAGATGAAAAGTCACTAAAAATTGATTCAAATTAAAAATTTTCTATCAAAATTCACAATGTAATAGTAAATGGAAGACGTATTTCTTGAGAATAGTCATAAAAGCAAAATCCTTAATATCTACTTCAAAATATTCAATGTAAAACTCTATCTTTTAATCTTACAGATAAATAAACAAATAGATTAAATAATAATAATATTAAGCCTTATTTCCTCCAATTCAAAATTTAAATCATATTAGGAATATTTATACCTTCAAGATTATTATTAAATAAATTTACATATGATTAATCCATCATTCAAACAAATATTCTTACATGTCCTGCAACATTGTTAACATTCTCCAGATATTCAACTAGAAGCTTACAAGTCATTCTTAATTTGTTTGGTTAGTCATTTATGAAGT